GCGCGGTCCTAAGCGCTGCCGTATTTTGCTTCTGTTCCTTAAAAAAAAACCCATAAATCAGGGTATATTCTACCTAACCATTACTTATCACCAGCGGCAGTGCTAGCTAACTCTTCATTCTTCCACCAGCTCTCACAGAGTTAGTACCATCTTACTCCTCCTGAGCACTACCCTCAGCCTGGGCAGGGCACCTGGCCATTCTCACCAGTGACTCTGCAGGCTGGGTGGAACCAGCTCTGGCTGAACTACATTTTGGTTATCTCGAACTTCATTTGCACATGTCTGTTGTCTGACCTAGAAACGCAAGTTGTGTTGAAATAAAAAAGAAATGCTGAAGGAAGCATTTTATAAACCTCTGCTAAACTCTGTTCGAGTTCTTCTCCAATTTTGGAAACTTATTTGGAAAGGAGTATGCACAGAGAAGCCAAGGAGTATGCTCCACACATTACCAAACCCCACCACAGGCAGCTAAAATAGTATTCTGATTTTATATGTCTTATTACAGCTTCATACACATAGATGAGTCACCACCTCCAGTCTTGATCTTTGACAACTTGAGGGCTTATTTTATACCTCATTCTATACATGAAGTTAGAATAACATTAGTATTTTTACACTTTTTAAATGGCGTGGGGGTATGTGAAGTAGTGAAAAATAGAGACAAATACAATGATGGTGATTTTGCAGATTTCTCAGAAGAAAATAACTCTTATGATGACTTTTTTCTTTAAGCTTTAAGACTTACTTTATACAGATAAAATGCAATGGCCTTCAGTCCCTGTTTTCGATAGACATGAACTCCACAGTGTAAAGATCTCAGCAAGTAGCACTGCATCTCACATCAAGCATCTTGTCTCATTACTGGCTGGTGATTGCAGACACTATGTGCCACTGCCTTTGTTTATAACCAAGAGTAGTGTTTTACAACACTGCCAAGTTCTGCAGTTCGGAACTGACATATAGACGGAGGCATCTGAGCCTTCACTGGCATTTGGCATTCCTCACCTCATTTCTGGCAGAGCTGCCTCTCTGGCAGTGACATTCCTGGCCCAAAACTCTCTCAATGAAATCACTGGCAAATTTCCCAACATCTTGAATAAGAACAGAATTGGGTCCCATGAGCAGAAGATGCATGTGCATCTCCTATCCTACTGTAAGCAGCAAATGGTCATGATTGCTATCTAGCAATCCAAACTGAAGAGCTGGTGACACCTGAGAGTGAGTTGATTATATTAACACTCAAAGGCATAGACAGAACTTACTTACAACACCAGAAAAGATATCACCTTACCTAAGAGAAATCATACAAGGCAAAATCTATTCCAACTACCTTAAAATATTCCTTCTATGATTCAACTCATCTACTTAACATGGAAAAAAAACCCCACAAACAAAAAAAAACCCAGAACATATCCCTCCTTGCTAATCAAAAGACAAAACCATAACATCAGCTATTGCTACATGTATTTAAAAAAAAGTTTTGTTTAGACTATTTTTCATTAAAATTCACCTGTGCATTTCATTTCCCTGAAAGTTCTTTGGAAAGAAAACAGCCAATAAGGAAAATTCTTAAAATACATTTTTTACTTTTTGCATGTTTTTTAGAACGAGTTTTCTTTATTTCATTCTGGATGGGTCAATACAATTCAGCATTTATAAAACTGCAGCACAGGAAACTTTTCACAGAATCTTAGAGCGGTAAAAGTCAAAACAGAAACACTGTTTTAGAAGCAGCAAGTACCATTTCTACTGTAGGACCTGTACGGAAGGTAGCTGCTTTTCAAGCTTAGCCATGGAACAATTAATAAAGGAACCCATTAAGGTCTGATTGTTGCTGCTAAAAAGGAAGGTTGAATTTCAGTCCTTTGAAGTAACTGAGAATGATTCAGGCCTCATTACAGAGATATAATCTACATTCATACATTTATGTTAGTGATTCAAATCTATTGGGACAGATTGAATTCCGTTAAATAGTGCATCTTTCCTGTGGAACTTTTCTCAGGCTTTCTCAGGCTAACCTAAGAGGTGACCTGACAATACAAAGTAGTGGGGTATTTAGGGATTCAACTGTGCTATAAAAGAAAGGCTATACAGAAAGTAGAAAAAAGAATGAGATATAATCTAAAAAGCTATGTCAGCTTTTCATTTGGACTCTGTTTTGTAAATGCCCTCCCTGTCATCACACGGGATAGAAAAGGACTCTATGCGTTGTAGTAAAGTACTGCACTGAATATTGCACCTGCCAGAAGCAGATTTAACATGAAATTCTGGATATGTGGGTTTTGTTCTTAACCACAAGATCTTACAAACAACATAAAGCCAATCACAAGATAGAAATAGGTATAAACAGAACTGTTCTTGAGTAAGCTCAAGACTACCTATTTTTTAAGGAGAAGGGGTTAAATATATCTGTTTGACCCCCAAACTAGTGTTGTCTCCTGCCACCAGAGATCCTAAAATGCTGATTTATCCTATTTTCCAGCATTTGACAGGAAAATGGGAAAAAATGAAAGGTTTCTTAATATGTATACTTTTAAGACATTATAGTAATTAATTATGATTTAAGCTGTTGGAACCAAAAGAACTTCAGTTTTAGGGATAACATGTCATGCCCTTCATGACCTAGACAGCAAGCAGACATTGGCATCAGCTTTTTAGACATACATGTAAGCTGTCAGGCATTCATCAAAAAGTAGGCTTTTGCTGTTCATTTTGGTTTTTTCGGTTTTTTTTCTTAGTTGCCACAAAAGGAAAGCCTAAATCAGATTCACCAAAAAAAAAAAAAATCTGAAATGCTTTGCAATCAGTGCAAATACATGCAGAATAAATACTCTGAAGTACCATAAACAACATTGTAAAACATATTGATTCTAACATTAAAAGGTTTTGTTTTTAAGGCTGTTTAAATGTCACCCCCAGAAGCTGAACACATGAATTCAGGAGCCGACTCTCTCCAGAATAAACACCATAACTGGAGAAAATAATTTCTAATTTCTGTTGTGAAGGTCATAATATATTTAACATCGTAATCCAATGAATCAGTCTAATTTTAGAACTATTTGTTCTTTTCTGCATTTTCTGTTGTTTAAATTAAGAATTACTCTGAATGCCAGATGTAATTGCATAGGTGGTTTTCCACTGCATCCCCCTGATCCGCTTTATTGAACAGCCTCCATTTCAGAAAAGTTCTCGTTTTACGTATTGAGCTACCCACAGTGTTTCTGTACCACTTCACTTCTCCACTACTCCATTCTCTTAGAGAATGTTCAACCTCCTTGCATTCCAAACCAGCTATTTTACAGTACTACTGACCAAAATCTAACGTCCTGCATGCTGCCCATGTTCTACCAGTCCGTGACCCTTTGTTCTGGTGTTAAAAGACAGTACATCATATGGAAGATGCCTGTTAATTACTGGGGAAGTTGACAGTTCAGTGAGGGGCTAGAAATATGAACCTGTCATAACATTCAGTATGTGAAATGACAAATCCATTAGGAGAGACGGAATCGGAGGGAAGAACAACAACATATGCCCCTCCAGGAAAATAATAGCTTAAAAAATTGCTTTAAAATAGCCCTGAAAATGGAAAATTTGTTTCTTTCTGGCAAAGGAAACTGCATTAGTTTAAAAAAAAAAAAGACGGCAAAATATTCAGACAGATTTTATGGGGAAACCTTTGCAATCCCAATAAAGCCCCTTTTGCTTTGAAGTCAGATGCGTGATTCAGTAAATGACTCATGTTAGCAATTAGAAAATGGTCATTTAGGGCCCTGATTTCTTCTGAGACAAGGAGGGTGCGGGTGGGGAGAGAAACGTAATAAATCTTGAGAGGCTTAAAAGGAAGAGCAGGCTAAAGTGTGAACTTTTTATTTCAGCAACGGAAGCGAGAAATCAGTGATTCATTAAAGGAGGGAGAAAGACCTCCATGGAAGCTGGCAAAGAAGAAGGAAAAGGAGCTAATTATGTCTCTTCCCTTTTTACTCTCCCTGACCAGCATATAATCTGCTTTTCCAGAGTCTGCCTGTAGTATATACTTCTTTCCAACCTCTCCACCCAACCCCTCCTCCAGCGGAGGGGGGTGGGAGTGGGAGATCTCGCAGGCAACAAGCTCCAGGTGGCTTTCTCAAGCACTTCACTGCCAGAAAAATAAAATAAAGCCCTCCGCTAGAAAACAAGTTTCTTACGGGGGGGGGCGAAGCGGGAGGAAAGCCTCCCTGGAGGGGATTGGTTCCGCCTGGAAGACAGGGAAATGGGCAAAGCACGGGTCTCCGAGCCATGCTGGTGGCCGGCGCTCCGAGGCGGAGAAGGCTTTAGGAGCGGGCACCGCTCGGCCCGGCAGCGGGAGGAGGGTCGGATGTCCCACCGCTGCCTGACCCCCTGCGAATAAGGGCTGACCACCAGAGGCACGTCCCACCTCTGACTTGTAATCGCTGACATTTAGGCTGCGGCTCCCAACCTGTTTACAACCAAAGGGGGAGGGAAAGGAAGGGAAGCGGGGGAGACAAGTTGGGATTTTTCCCTCTCGCTCTTTCTCTCTCTCTCTCTGGATTTTTTTTTTTTTTAATACTGTTCTGGAGAATTCAAAGCAAAACAAAGAAACTGCCTCCTCTGGGGTTGTCAGTGAGAAAGGGACGAGTTGTGCAACTAGTTTGGGACTTGCAAAGAGGCAAAGGGGTGGGAATCAGAAGAAGGTGCAAAGCCACAAAGTGTGAGTGCGTGTGTGTGTATCTGAAGGGGTATGTGTGAAAAATCCCTTCCAGCACCCCTTTCTGCTGGGTATTATTTATTCTTGTTGTTGTTGTTGCTCACTTTGCTGTCATCTATTTTTCAGACCTTTCTGCATCTAAGATGGTGAAGAAAGGAGTGAGGAAGAGAACAAAATAACTACTGGGAAGTCTCAAACCAGGTTGGGGAGTGTGTGTGCATGTGGGGAGGGGGGGTGGTGGTGGGGAAGAGAAAAAGAAAAAGAGGATTAACCACAGCAACCCCCCCAAAAAAAACCAACAGCTCTTTTTTCTGAGGGAGGACTCGAAGGATTAAAAGGCAGCAACTTCTGAGGCGATTTGTCCCCTGAGTTATGGATGTTGGTGCACTTACTTCAGGCCAGATCAGAGCTCAGAGGGATCTAACCAGAAGCAGCAACCACCGGCTCTCCACTTGCCTTTTACCAGGTCTTACCCTTCCAGTATGTTTCATTTGATAAGACATTTTCCAGCGCCCAGAGTTTCAGTACAATGTGCAAATGGATACTGACAAATGGTGCCTCAGCCTTTTCCCACCTGCCTTGTTGCTGCTTGCTGCTGCTCTTCTTGGTGTCTTCTGTGCCTGTCACCTGCCATGACCTCGGCCAGGACATGCTGTCCCCGGAGGCCACCAACTCTTCTTCTTCATCATCCTCCTCCTTCCCCTCGTCCTTCTCCTCTCCTTCCAGTGCGGGGAGACACGTGCGGAGCTACAATCACCTCCAAGGAGACGTGCGCAAGAGGAAGCTCTACTCTTACAACAAGTACTTTCTCAAGATCGAGAAGAACGGCAAGGTCAGCGGCACCAAGAAGGAGAACTGCCCCTTCAGTGAGTACCGCGCTGCTGCCGGGCCGCAGCCCCCCCGACCG